CAAAATTTCGCTTGTATTCTAAGAACTCGGTCTCACTCATACTCTCGCGCTCTTTTTTCTTTTTTTCTCTCAAGTTCGAAAAAAAAGTGATACTCCAAGTTATAATTAACTAAAATATCTGGAATCGAGTGATGAAGTTACAAGAAAGTAAGATTATATCAGCTTATCCAATTTACATATATCACTAATTCTCGTTAATAATTTTTTTATATGCTTTAGTAGAACCTTCTTTGAAGATAAATCAGAGAATACGAAATATAAATCAAACTTAATGCACCATACCTATAACCCATTTGAGCAACCAGAGATAATAGCGTATATTATCAAAAATCTTACACTATATGATCTTACAAAATGCCTCTATATTAATCGAATATGGAATAAAGAAGCAAAACGTAAGTTCTTTATAAGGCAAGAAAAACTTCAAGATATATTCTGGAAATTAGAATCAGAATTAGAAGAAGCCGAAGAAAAATATGCCTGGTGGATTGGTGGAGGGGGTAATACTAATCCAGAAATCGAAAACCCTTATATCAGAATAAATTCTTTGAATCGTGAGTTGTTTGGAATTATTAAAAGACTGCAAGAATTAGAACATTACATGTTGAGTAATAATATTATTGATAGAATAGCGGGAGCACATTATATGTATGGTAAGGTTACTTCAATATGAGCCAGTATATAAGTATTGAAGTATTCAAGTAATTCTAATATTCGGTTATCCAGCCCATATATTTCGTAATCGCTCATTTTTCCTTTCCAACCCCCACGTGCGTCTCACCACGAACCATATAACGGCAATAATTAACAGAGCAAGTAATATACATGCTAATAGAGGTGACATCAATGTACTTGCCACAGCAGGGATTGCTCCTATTTCTTCTATCGGAATTTGAGAGTGTGATTCGATCAAAGAGGGGTTATAATTTTCCGGCTGTGCAAGGTAAGGAGTTATATTCGGTAATTCTTGAGATCGGGGTATAATGTTCTCACTAATTTCGTTAATGTTAGTTCCCTCATTTATCTTAGGGGCTAATCTCAGTATCTACTCTTGATGGTTCGGTATTCTCATCATTAGTGGAGCAGTTATCAGAGATAACAGTTTGTGTCGAGATATCATTATCGATTTTTCCAGCTTGGTCCATACTTTTTCCGGATATAAAATACTGTCTAAGACTTTTGCTAGGTTTACTAACTGCAGATATATCATTAGACTTAGTCATATTTTTTGCCTCACCGCCGATCTTGATTGGTTCTGACGATAACTTGGATTCTAAGGAGTATATCTCTGAAGTTTTCAAGGCCAGATCATCTTCATTTGTTTCAATTCGTCATTTTTCGAAACCAATGCATTCTTCATATGCACCAATTTACTATTTTTCGAAACTAGAATAGAATTCAAGGCAGATAATTCGATCCTAAGGGGGTCAATCTCAGATTCTTTCATAGACAAGTCCTTCTGAGCTGAAGATAATTTCGTCTCCAATGCCTCCATCTTAGATAAGAAATCTTTTATTTCTTTGGATTTTGTACGAATCTTGTCCTTGAATTTACTAAGTGAAAGATCTTTACCAGTGATACGGGATTTGAGAGTATCTATCTTTGAGCGTAATTGCTTAACCTCATCTATAAGTTGATATACATACTCAGAGAGTTTCTCATTATTGCAACGTAATTGATCATTCTCCTTATTGGTATTTATGCTATGATTCGAATATACCACTTGCATATTTTTATATTCA